CCACCCCGCCCCCCTTCCCCCCCCCGGTTTCCCCCCGCCCCGGCCCTGACCCCCCCCCCCCCTTGTAAATTCGAACCCCCCCCCCCCCAATTTCAATTCCTGGGAAAGCTACTGTGTGCAAGAGGAATGTAGAAAGGGTCTTTCTGCTCCTCAGTCCAAGTCAGTGAGGGTTTTGTTTTTTGTTTTTGATTTTGCTTCTCACTTGTGTGCACTCCCTGACTGATTTTTCTGTGGGTCTGCAGCCCCTAACCCAACAAAGGTTCCCCAGCGCTGGGTGTGTCTAGACTACCTAGTTTTGTCGACAAAAGTGGACTTTTGTCGACAAAACAATACCAGCGTCTACACTACTGCGGAGTTCTGTCGACATAACGTCGACAGAACTCCGCGGTTTTGTCGACGCTGGTATACCTCATTTTACGAGGCATAACACTTTCTGTTGACAGAACTCTGTCGACAGAAGGTGTTATTGCCTGTAACACTGCGTCCAGACTACGGAGTTCTGTCGACAAAGTGGCTTGCTTTGTCGACAGAACTCCATGTGTCTGGACGCAAATTGTCGACGGAAGTTTTGTCGACAGTATCTGTCGACAAAACTTCCGTCGACAAAACGCGGTAGTCTAGACGTACCCTTAGTTAGTGTCTAGGTGCTGTGCATCTAAATAAGACTTGCATCATAGTCGTCAACAGACAGAAGGGCTGAAGCATATTCAGGGAGAGAGAAAGATGAAGCCCTCCCCCCCATCAAATGTCTCTGCTGGGGTCTTCATGTCTTGCCTTTTCCCTGCAGTGTGCAGCCATGTGGAAACCCGAGCTCACGCAGAGGAGAGACTCCTGAGGAAACTCTTCTCTGGCTATAACAAGTGGTCCCGGCCGGTAGCCAACATTTCGGACGTGGTCCTCGTCCATTTCGGATTGTCCATCGCGCAGCTCATTGATGTTGTAAGTGAAACTGACTGTGCCTAGAAGCAGGGCAAATTCTGGAAGTCCTGGCTGAGAGGTGATTCCAGAGGCAAGCCAGTGTGTGTGTCTATTGTCTTATTTCACAATCAGAACATGAGAGTTTTATTGATGCTGGGGAACTGTTACCCAGCTGAACAGTTCTATTGAAACCAGTGAGACGACTGGTGCAGCTAACTGCTTAGCAAGGCATGCACAGTCTGGTAGTCTTGTAAATAGTATGTATTATTTATTTATGATTGTAAAAAATGTGATGCTCTTTCTGAAACCAAGGGAATGACCATGATATAAACTGCATACATCTATTAGGTTCAAGTGGAGTTTTGAGGGAATGAATTTTGGCTTAATAAGAAACAAGCAATGTCTTTGAAATTTGATCTGTAATTAGTATTCATGATATATAATCCTCATAAATAATAGTTCACACATCTATTACTTATCTTGTCCAAGGATCTCAAAGTTCTTTCTTCACATGGAAGACCCTTTGGCTACTTTGAGGCACAGTGGTGGAGAGAAAATGTTCCTACATGTTTGCTTGAAGGGAATCAACATATGTGAAATATAGATGCCATATAAAATGGATTGATTTTTGTTATGAGTCAGGCACACGCCTTGGCATGGTATTTAAGGGATATGCTTTATGGCAATTGGAACTCAATTTTCAAAGAAGAAAACAGGTGCATTATCATACACCCACACAAATTATCATTTTACTCTTCTAGAATGATTGTATGCACAAGAACCAGTCCACACATGGAACTCAGATAACTAGTTTTGCATGCCAGTGTGTGTGTCTGTGCATGTGCACACTAGGGATGTTAAAATGCATTTAAGTAACCGTGTAATCGTGATGAAAAATTCATCAGTTACATGGTTACATGCAGGGCAGCAGCTGGCTCCTGCCAGTCTCCCCACACATGCTGTTTCCTCTGATACAGAGGCAGCAGCACAAGAGTTCGGGGGGAGCTGGCTCCCTGCAAGTACCAGGAGCCTGCGTGTAACTGTGAATGTTAACCGATGAGCCCAGGCTCATTGATTAACCGTACACAATTACACATTCACATCCTACTGCACACCTGTTTAAACAGATGACATTACATTTTTGGAAACTGTCTGAATTATTTATTTAATAGAAATCTATACGTGCATTGTGTTCTTATGTATGTCACAGAGAGAAGAAAGGTCATGCACGAAGCTGTAGTGTAGTACACAAGATTTATTGGCATGCAATTGTTATTATGTACAAACGGCAAAGTCATAAATGAAGTTTGCAGGTCATGCCAGATGAGTGCTTATTAACCTATTAACCTTTTATACCCTACCACACCATCTTCAGCATTAATACTGTTTTTGGAGTGGATTAGAGAGACAGAAAACTTGATGCTAACATTCATCTTCCTCCCTTTGAAAAGCTAGGCTACCCATATCCCAGGGTCAGCCATATGCGACTCCGATAAGAATTCCAGCCAATACAATTTACAGAACTCTTGAAAACCCCTGCAATAGTTTTTCCACCCATAATGTGATTGTGACCATTGTGGTTCTTTCAGTGGTAGCAGAAAGTGCTCAGTTCTATTGGGAAGAACAGAAAGTCCCTTTTCCAGTGGTAGGCAGGTCATGAGATGCCAGGTCTTAAACTTGACCCTTGTTGAAACTGTCCAGAGTGGACCTCATGCCATTATAATTTTGAGGAATAAATTCTA